AAGGTTCAAATAGTAACAAAACCAAAAAGTCAATATCATTATCAGATCATAGGTTGATGATATGATTTTTTCCCACGCCTTCATCATTAGGCAAAATTAAGTGTGAAAACCTTTTAACTAAAAAAGATAATAGAATGACATAGTTTTGTGACTCGCGTCCGCGTTAGCTAACATGATAACATCGCAAAATAACGCCAAAAAAACATCTTTCAAAAACATTTTTTTAAAAGAAAAAACACAAAGATCTTGAAAAGACTGTCTTAATCTGTCGAAAATCTGGTGATGGAGCAGATTCAGCGATATCTGATGCYAACAGAACTAAACAAAAAACTCCAATTACGAGCTGCTAATGACTCGGGGGAAAAAAGCTGAGGATTACATGTTCAAATGTTAAAMAAAATTTACATGATAGCGTATCATATATAAGTGGGCGAGTTGAAATCATTCCATCGTGGACAATTTGATCATGGCGACATCAAACGCAAGTAAGTAGATATCAGATATCACTTTTTTTTCCTCGTTTCAATAGTTAAAAAGTGTTGTTTTTTTTATCAATGTTTTTTTTTCCTCTCATTTTAAAGATACAAATGCAGATTGTCACACAGAAAAAGCTGAGATGATGGCGAGCCCGTGCGGGCACCGCTTTTGCGAGCGGTGCTCGCCAACAGTTTTYGAAATGGACACCTGTCCACTTTGCCAGTAAGTAATTCAAAGCCTATTTGAGAAACTATTTTGAAATCCATATAATTTGTTTTCATAATTCTATACGTAGTGCCCAGATTGATGCTGTGGTTGTTGGCTTCGTGGACAGGTGTCCATTTAATGAAGCCGTCCTGGCCGCGTGCCGGGACGTGCTTTCATCAGAAAAAAACAAGAAGGTATGTGAATATATTCAAATGATTTTTTTTTTGGTTTATGGATAACATCTCAATTTTTCTCGTTTTGCTTTCGTTACAGTAAATCCGGCAAGACATCACAAAAGAGGTCAAGACATCACTCAAAAATTAAGAGTAATCATGTAAACATGTAAAAATAAAACGTTTTAAAATCAAATCATGTCTTCTTCACTGACCTCCGATTTTTTCCGAGATAAACTTTTTCTATTCTATTTTGTGTGCTTTGCAGGA